ATATGTATGTATATATATATATATCTATCTCTCTATCTATCTATCTATCTATCTATCTATCTCTCTATCTCTCTATATGTGTGTGTGTATGTGCATGACCCCCCTTTCCAAAAAACTTGTCCCCAAGGCTTGGTCTGGCGCCTCTGGCGACGCTGTATCGGCCTGGCAGAGGCTTCGAAGTGTTGGCAGAAAAAGCAACCAGGTTCCATGATTCACACGATGGAGATTGTCAGACACCCCCCTTTGAGACGGAAGGCTGAGGTGCCGGCGGGAGTAGGCTGCGGCTTTGGGACGCTGTTAGTAGGCCTGACATGCTATCCAGGTTGATAGCCGGGCACGCGGAAAACACGTCTTGCAACCAAAGCGCTCCCGCCCGGCTTGTGGCATGTCGCTGCGTGCCTTGACTGAGGATGCGCAGCGAGGAATCCCAGCCCAAGAAACTTTGCTTACATGACCACCACAACAGGATTGTCGTGGTGGTTGTGGAGTGGTGGGGCGTGTGGGGGAGGGGGGGGGGAGGCGGTATTGGTTTCGATACTGTAGCAGTGGTGCTGGTGCTGGTGTTTCAATCGTCGCTGCTTTGATTTCGGTGACAAAAAGCACCGAAGCACGTTATCCAAACCAAAGACAAACTTGACGACAAGATGAGAATCCAACAAAAGGCAAGCACCGTACCATTCCACAACAATTACAATATATTACAATACTTGTGTCGGCAAAACTCTAAGATTCTGCAAGACACAGTACAGTGTGCAAGCCAAGCTTGTGACTAGCACTCAAATTGCAGGACTGCAGAATATGCAATGCAAGAAGATCTGTGCATATAAGAGCACATACAAGCTGGTTCCGGAACGCCCGGAAGTGTCATTTTATCACAGCTTAGATCGCAGCTGTAGCAGGAGCACATGTACGCATGCATGCTTGCAGAAATACATACTTGCCCATGTACCTACCTCGCTGCATGCCTGCCAACGTACATACTTACACTGGCAAATACAGAACGTAACATACCAGAACATAGCATGCACTGCATCACTCTGCATCTGTCTAGATCCTAGACTATGTAACATGCCACATAGAGTATGCCCGTCTTCAGGAGATATCGACATACTCTACCATGTAACATGCTGTAGAAACGTACTATCATCTCATTCAAGTCCTAACACCTGTCATACGCAGACGCGGCACTTAACTCTTCCAGACAGGCTAGTCAGCTGGCGCTTCCTCAGTCGACTTTCCGCCCAACAAGGCTGAGGCAGCCACGGGTGCCTTGGGAGAGCGACTCCGACTGCGGCTTCGCTGCTTGTGGCCTTGGGTTTAAGGTGAGGGGCTTGGGTCAGGGTTTTGTGGCTTCTGGTTCAGGACTTGGGGTGTTAGGGCTGTGAAGACGAGGCATCGGGGCTTTCGAGCTGTGGAGCCTCAGGGTTCCGAACTTTCAATGCTGATCCGGTTCACAGCACTGAGGACTTTCACATTTCTGATCGGAGGGTCTGTTGTCTGGGTTGGATTCGATTGAGGGTTGTTCGTGTAGTTCTAAGCTGCTCTATAGGTATACGAGTAGGGCCTAGGGTAAACCCGTTGCGGGTCTTTTACGTGTACGAAGCTTCTAGAACGCCCCGCGTGAGAAGGGTAAGCCGCTGCGCACGTGTGGGATGCAAGGTCTCCATGCTCGAGAGCTGCCGGGCCGAAAGGTCCGCGTAGCAATGGCCCAGACAGGCAAAAACAAGGACGGTCATACACTATTTTATGCTATTATATATACTGTTATGACCCAGAGATCTAGTGCGTCAAAGCTGCCTCGAGATGCCTCCGTCCTGGGAGCAGATACAGGCAGGCTTCCAGAAGCTTGACTGGTCAGCTGCGCTGCAATCTACGGTTGAACCCATGGACCCCTA